CTAGCCTGACCTACTGACTAGCACAGGCTAAAGAACCTCACTCAAGGATAAAGGCACCATTCTACAATTGGCACTGTACAAACATGAAGTAAAAAGATAGCTCCTATCCCATGATTTTGGTCAAAAATTTTCCATCAAAACTTATTTTCAAACAGAATTATTGACTAAATAAACATTTTTTTGTCAGAAAAGTGAAAAACCAAAAAAGTTCACCCAAAAACTAATAATTTTTCAGTTTTTGTCTGTTCTGGGTCAACATTTTTCAGCTTTTCAACAAAAAGTCAAAATTTCCATGAAAAAGCCGCTATTTTCCAGCTAGTCACAACTTTGTTTTTAATGACGAGACTGAAGAGAAGATTAAACAAACAGATGTCACGGATGGGGAAAGTAACATTTTGCATGGTAAGCAATAGTTACAGCTTGCCACCTGCCTAGCAATTGTCAGCAGGCAAGGATGCATCAGAGCAGAGGCAAGTCTCAAGGAGGAAAATGAAGGAGGACAATGCCGTGACTTTGCAATTCTTTGTAGAGGAGTCTTTTCCATTCATAAGGGGGGCCATGGGATAAGGCATGAGAGGGGGTCAGGAAATGTAATTCACATCAGCAATGCTGAATCACAGGACTGAGGTTGTAGGGGAGGTCATTTAAACTAAAGGAAATTCATTCCATGTTGTGTTAAGCCTCTGGCATCAATGACATTTTAGTCTCTCTCTTTACAGGTGTTTTTTATCACATTGCTCTCCCTACTCGCACATGCAGTCCCATGGACTATTGGAGTAAAGCAAGCAGACCATATTTAGGCCTTTTCATGTTGAAAGCTTGAGATTAGTGATTAGATACATGCTGATTAGAAAAAAAAAGTCCTTCACATTGCTGACACAATTCAAGTCAGTACAACATAATGTCAAGCTACAGTACTGTCTTCATTTGTCCCAGGTAGTATGTATTGTTATGCTCATACAAAGCACACAGGATCTTTTTAGAGGACAGGGCCGGCTCTAGGATTTTTGCCGCCCCAAGCAAAAAAAATTTTGGCTGCCCCCTGTCCCAGCCCTGGGCTCCTCGCCGGACCCCCTCTGCTGCCCCAGCCCTGGGCTCTTCCCCCCCACCCACACCCCCTGCCACCCCAGCTCTGGGCTCCCTCATTCCCCCCCACCATTGCCCC